TAAATTTACATCCCAGGCAGGAAATGCAAGTAGAATACACATTGAATTATAAATCAGGCTTTCATGTTATATTGACTGGTTTTCTGTCACTGGAAGGGGAACTTGATTCTTCCCTCCATAGAGGAGCTGCCTGGGTACTTGTTTTAATAAGAAAGAACCCTCATAAAAATTTTACCTTCAGAATTTTTCTCTACACATTTCTTGAGTGTTTTTTTTTTTTTTCAAAATTTCTTTCCTTCTCTCCCACACACAACTTTAAGGAAAGTCAGAGTGACGTAGATTGAACTAAAAGAGGAAAGCTTGAAAGCAAACTACTTTAGCATTTGCTAAATCCATTGTATTTGTTCAGTCTTCTGTGTCAATCTCTTTTCAACCCCAGTGATTCATGTTGTCTTTTCTCACCTCTTGTGCTGTTCCCTTGACAATGGTGTGCAGATTGCCATTCAGTATTTCTCCTCATAAACCAGCTTTAATTAAAATAGTATTGTTTTCTGGCTTATATCTTCCTTAACATAACACCAGACTACTATATGCAAAAAGGGAAGCTTTGTAAATATCATCCTTTTAAAGACTGTTCAAAAATACCAAACTTTTGAAAATCAAAATCTCTTATGTCAGTAATGGCTCAACTATGTAAGGTACTTGCTGAATCACTTCTCTAGGCCCTAATCCAAGGTCTTTATTCTAACATCGCAGCATATTTAGGAAACTATAGTAATGGTTTGTATTTAATTTCATTCTTTGTTCTTTGTAGAAGCAGGATTTTCAATTCTTTCTAGTGTATTTATGGTCTTTTCTGTAATTAGGTGGGAACAAAAAGGAATAATAAGAAAGAAGCAATTAATTAATTAGCAGTTTTTAGTTCAGTTGGCTTTTCCTTTCTTTTCTTTTCTTTTTTTTTTTTTGAGACAGAACCTCAAGCTGTCACCCTGGGTAGAATGCTGTGGCATCACAGCTCACAGCAACCTCCAACTCCTGGGTTCAAGCAAGTCTCCTGCCTTAG